TGTTACTCACAATAGGTGATTATTATTATTTTCATGACAAAATGGTAAAAGAAAATGGAGACCGGGCAGGGATATGGTATGGATATTGGTGGGGGTAATAGGTTGTGTCCCGCAGCCAATGGGGCATAGCTTGGTTACATTGTTTTCCCTGACCGTGTTAGTTAAGGATCGTCCGTTGCAGTGGATTCTAGTCAAGTCACATACTTATTATTCTAAGCATATACTTGCTTATGGGAGTGGGAAGGCTCATTGCTCTCTTGTCGTGGGTTCCGGTTCTTTCCGAATCAACTGATTGGAGGTGGGGATGGTGGAGGTCTAAGCACCACACTGAGTCCAGGACTCGGAGTGGGGGCTTGGAGTCCAAGTTTGGATGGAGACCTGAACCCCTTGATAGAAGAGTGGTGGGTTGGTCTTGCTTGTGCCTGGGGTACAAGCGGGGCATATGTTTCGGGTACCCAGCTGGGATACATTGGTACATGAATCGCCGTGTGATACGGTATGGCTTGGCTACAATCTAGCACCATAGTAAGAACTGAAAGATGAAAGGGAATGAACGGATCTGATTGCTCAACTCTTGCTTGAAAGTAGAACAGGTGCTTACATAGAATGGTTAGCTAATGAACTAATCATGCCTGCTAATAAAACACATGCATAAGGATTCACTACTAGTAATGCTTTTTTAAAAAAAGAAACCCAGCAAACCATAAAGCTTATCATATCCTTTGGAGTCGGAAATTATTCTCATTAGTCGGGTAAGTCTTGCGAGTACATTGTGTACTCATGGTTTATTTACCCCTGTTGCAGTTGCAGCTTGAGGAGTGGCTATTGTGTGGAGAATTCTTTTGGTGGGCACAAATGAATCCTTGTATCTTATCGTTAGATGTTTATTTCAATTCCGTTGTTGTCGGTGTTTTGAGTTACCACCGACGAGTAAATTTGTATTATTGCGCGTCTGGCTCGGATGGTGTGTTAGAGGACACGAGGTTTATACTAGTTCGGGCAGAAAGTCCCTATGTTCAGTTCATCGCTGCTACTCGTGTTATTAGCACTAGAAGTTTGTAGCGGGGGTACAAACGGGCGAGAGAGGGAAAGGATCCCAAATCTCTGGTGAAAGGAATGAACGGGTGCTGAGAGCTCGATTGCTGCTCAGCCGAGTGCTCGTGTTGTGCTTCTTGCGTCAATCTCAATTGATCAATTTTAATAGGATCGCCCCCTTCATGGTACGCCCTGCTTTCCCTTTTATAGGCCAAGGGAAAGCACGGGTTACAGTGGAAGAAAAGAGAAAAACAAGAGAGAGAAGAAGTCCTTCAGGATCGCCGGGTCCTTTTATCCTTCATAGGGGTCCTGTCGACCCTGTAGATGTCAACAGGGACAACTCCGCATCGTGGCCCTGTCCGTTACTAGCACCATGCACAAGCATCGTCTGCCAGTCATGGTGTTCCATTCCGTCGTAGCGGACGTCGTGGTGAGCTGACGTGCCTATCAGCGTTTGTACGGGGGTTAGGCAGAACAACACCGGTACGCCCGACGCTGTTCTTGATGTGAATCCTCATGTATGGCCCATCATGGCCATGGGTTACATCGGGGCGTGCTGGTCTCTTCCTTGGTGTCAGAGTTTTGACCTAGGCCCATACGTTTGGACCTAGAGTGGTTGGCGGTGGTATGGGTCCCTATCGTGCGAGGCAGATCCCGCGACCTCGGGGTTCGGCGAGGCGGAGCACAAACCAAAGGGTCGGGCGAGGCGGAGCCCGTGGCCTCGGGGTCGGGTGAGGCGGAGCCCGCCCCCAGAGGTCAGGCGAGGCGGAGCACAAAACCAAGGGTCGAGCGAGATGGAGCCCATGGCCTCGGGGTCGGGCAAGGCGGAGCCCGCCCCCAGAGGTTCGGGCGAGGCGGAGCACAAACCCAAGGGTCGGGCGAGGCGGAGCCTACGACCTTAGGGTCGGGTGGAGCTGTAGTCGCGCTCTTGACTACTCGGATGAATCAATGTTGATGGTCATTAGCTCCTCTCTTGAATACCCTAGTATTGGTCCCCGACAGCTATTTAAATTCCGCACTCTGAACTTGGTATTGTAATAATGTATTTTTTAGAACTATTATTGTATGAAATGGACTAAGTGATGTAAACTCATTCTCATTATTGGATCCTGGGTGAAAAACGTGGATTGTTCGAGTTCTCCCTTGGGGTGTGCTTGACGGAACCGTCGATGTAGCTTACTTTTGCGGTGCTTAGCGTCTGGTGGAAGACGAGCGCCTCCAAAAATGTGCTATTTCGGGCGGTTTTGCCACAATAGGATCGCAAGACCGTCCACTAAATAGAAAAAATGTCATCATAGCATACAATGATGAGAACAAAAACATCATTGGATCGTCATGTCAAGGTCAGAGAGCAAATACAAAAGAGAAGAATCGGTGCACAGGATCATCAAATAGTCCACTGAAGACAAGAAAAACGTCATGAGAGCATACAATTATGTACATAAGGTTACACGAGTTGGAAGTCATGGTGAACAAAGGCCACTGACTCGTCTAGTGACGAAGAAAATGAAGTTGACAGGCCATCCTGTGAAGTACATTGGATTGCAACAAAGATGGATGTAGCCACCAGATGAAGTGAGGGGCACTCATCGGATCGTATAGTGTTGTAGGGCCTAGTGTTAATGACACAGGTGGCAACAATCAAATGCCTCACTATGTGATCCGGTGATATGCATTAGCGCCCACCAATGGTGTTGGCTATTTTCCCAACCTATGGGCATAACAAAATGAGAAGTGAAGAGAGCTTAAGGGCATGCCCTGCACGTGCGCCGCCGCCTCCGAGTCAAGAGTGGTGCACGGTCTGAGCCGGGCTACGACATGATGTGGTGTGGGGTGGGAGTCTCGGCTGGTTAATGTGCCGGTTTCCAATAACTCTGCTCGTCCAGGTTCATCCTCCCGATGTTCGGCTTTTGCCCATCATAGACGTGCGAGAGCTGCTCCACAACTAGTCACTGCCCATTGGTTGTGGCTTGCTGCACCTTATACACCGCCGTCCCACCCGTGGAGTCGTGGCTCCTTACCCACCGATGAACGTTGGGGTCGGGTAGAGGGGTGTAGGGCTCGCTAGTTTCTTTCGTGCCCCATGCACCCATGCTACCACCCAGCCACTACCAGCCGCCCAACGGCCCAGCCATTGTTGGTTGCCACATCGTGGTATCGTTCTACTAATTGGACGCTACCCGTTGTCAGCCGCCTGCATCGTGGTATGTGTTGTAACGGTTGGACGCTAGTCATTGTCAGCCGCTCGCATCGTGGTATCGCTTTGCCAATTGGATGATTGCATTTGCAGAGAGAATGGAAGTCAATGAGATTCTAAAACATTATATTTTCAAGTGTGATATAGTTTCTGTTTGGCACTAAACTAAATCATTCCATTTTTGAACAAAGGAGAAGTTAGCATATCACTAAACTCTTGTACAAATTCACTCATATCAAATTAACTAGCTAACTAGCTAAATATACCCTTGCGATGGTACAGGTGAAGGGTCAACATATTATCACGCCATAATGCTAAATGTGGCTATATAAAACTGAGATACAATGTCTTTTCTTAACAAAAAATCATCTTTACAGGTAACTCAATGTCTGGTTTAGTTTTGAGGCCATGGTCAATCCAGCTTGCGGCACTTGTGCATTGCATTCACCTAAATCAGACAAAATTATGTTTGTTATTAGTAATAATAATTTTATTTACATTTGTTTGCGAAATAATCAATATATAGACGATACAAAGCTAATGCATATTGTAGCAAATTGTCAAGAAAATAAATATGTCCCAAATTTCAGTTCCTTGCTGAAGCTGTTGTTATTTTCGAACTCCAATAAGAGGCAACAAATACATCCAGCAACTTTGCGAGCAAGAAAAGTTTTGTAGCCTAAACCAGACAATATTTAGCTCCAATAAGAGGCAACAAATGGTTGCAAAGTTTCGAACATTTCAGTCATGGTGTCCATGGCACCCATGACAATATAGTAATATAGCCATTAAACATACTATCATTGAAGTTTATCAAACTCCGAGAAGACGATGATGGTTGGTAGAGGATAGATGAGTTGCCCATCATCTAAACCAATAGTTCTGATAGCCCATTAACATAGTGGCGGACCCAGGATTTAATGAAGACAAGGGCCACATTTCAGTGTCGCATATAAGTCACATATAGAGAGGAGGAATATGACGTAAAAGTTTTCAAATTGAAAAGCTTGCTTGAACTAACATAACTCGGAACATAAGAAATAATTCGAGTTTCATTGTGATGATGTTACCTGGTCATCCGGATTGGATGGTTCCTTGTAAGCACAGAGGTCAGCAGCAATAAAAGATGGACACATTCGAAGGCTTTCAGGCTGAGCGCATACTGGGCTTTGGTTGTGTTGCGCCCGTCCACACAGCAGACATCGTTCAAGATGAAGTAGACCACATCTGGCTCCTTGGGGCTAAGAACGGGGACGGAGGGTAGGCACTTTAGCAGCCCTAGACCCACACGGAACGACTCATCACCCCAGAGTTCTCCAACACTGAGACTTGTGTTGTCATCTTTCACCCAAGTGCATAGGTCAGGGAACCTCCCCACCAGGGTCCAATTGTTTATGGTGATCTTGCCATCAGGGACCTCGCCGTCGCTATAGATGTCAAAGCCATGCATATAGAGGAACTTGAGCTTTCCGTCGACACAGCCCACAGTGCTGTATACATATGGGTGGCCACGGTAACTTGACCTTTCCGTCGGCAAGGGCTTCAATTGGAACTGTGGCTCAGACAAGAGCAGGTCGCAGGTCAGGATGCCCAGGTGGAGGTCGACCCAGCAAAGCCCACTGGCCTTGGAAGGCGAATGCTACGTCCACCGTGAAACCAAACTGAACCACGTCCTTGGGGAGGCTTGCATCCTTGGGCACCCATTGCTGCCCTCCGAGAGCAGAAGGAGACCACAGTAACAGGGAGTACTGCCTGGTACGGCGGGACATTACCAGAAGGGCCAGGATGAAATCACCGCTCCCTCCACCGCGGCGCATGACGACGAGGCGGCACAGGGCATCTCAACAAGGTCGACCGAATCAATCGGAGGCGCCACGAAGAGGGCGTTGGCGGCGGCGTCGCAGACCAGGTACTGCCCGGACGAAGCGCAGTAATACCATTTGTGCCCGGTGTGGAGGACGAGGAGATTCTTGTCGGCACTCGCAATAGAGGCAGATTGCAGCTGAGCAACAATTTCGCGGGGAGTCGCCGGCAGATGGAGCGACAAGGTGTAGATTTCCGGATGGCTGACGAGCTTGTCAGTGGCGACCCTGACCAGGCCCTCCCGTACCCAGTCCACCAGGCCCTTGGGCTTCACTTCCTCCTCCTCGCGGTCTTGATCCAGCCACCACGGTTCGTCATCGTCGGAAGGCACCGCGCTCTTGTGGCCGGTTTCTTCTGCTACCCAGAACTCAAGAAAACAAGTGCCGCGGGCACCCGCTGATTCATCGGTGCTGGCGACGAGAAAATTGCAATTACAGGACCAAACAACGTGCTTTGCTATTATAGCACTCCAAACTTTAATTTCGCTAAAGCGACTCTGGAAACGTTGATACTTTGTTATACATAACATTTGGTCTTTTTAATCACTGTTCTCAACTAAAATACTTGTATTTTGCCATGACGTGACCGTATTACCCTCAGGGCTTCAATTGACGTGCTCGTACCCTTCCGTCGCAGCGAGCGCAAAGAGATTCTCGGGGGCAGCCAAGATGAACTCGATGCAGCTGGCCTTGAGCTTGGCGCACCCGTGCTGCTCGGCCAGCGCCAGCGTGGTGGCGACGTTGCTCACGCTGATGTCCGTGGACACCTTCTCCTCGCACATCCTCTTGAGCCGCTCCAGCCCGTACCGGTCCGCGGCTTCCAGGAGATGCTGCGCCATCGCCGTCGCCTGCCACCCGCTCCGCTCCAGCTCCGGCGCCGTGTCGGTGTAGATGAAGCGGAGCATGGCCCTGAACACCTCCGCCTCCATGTCCTTGACCTCCACGCACGGCGCGGACTTGGACGCCTCCTTCGTGTGCCCGTACAGCTGGGCCATGAACACGGGCGACCTCGTCGCGAGCACGGACCGGTGCCAGGGGACGGACTCACCGGAGACGTGGAACGTCACGTCCGCGCCCTTCTGGCTCCGCAGCAGCTCGCCAAACTGCCTGTGCAGGTCGGAGGATGGAACGCTCGGGGGCGGGCCGGCATCCGACGCCACCGCATTCTTCGGTTCCCCGAGCAGGACGGTGATCGCGAACTGCACGAGGATGGAGTCGTCTTTCAGGTACCGACGCTGCCTACCTTCCAGCTCGCTCCGCCTGACGAGGTAGACGTCATGGAAATCGTATCTGTGGAACGAGGCGGAGGAGATTTGGTCCTGGGAGTCGCCCAGTCCCGATTGGTTCAGATCCACCAGGCGGCAGGCGAACGACACCGCCACCCCACCGCCGGCTGCTTTGCTCATTAGCCTGAGGTGGAACATGACCCAGCTAGCGCCGTCGAAGGGTGGTTCGGCGGCCCCACCGACCTGTTGGCAATACGGTCACATCATGACAAAATACATATATTTTAGTTGAGAAAAGTGATTAAAAAAACCAAATTCATGTATAACAAAGTGTCCCGTTTTTAACTCGTTTTAAGCGAAGTGCCGCGGAATCATAATAACCGCTTATTTCATCCTATGTTTGCGATTTTCTCGAGGCGCACGTCGCCGTCAAGCAGGAAGCAGGCGGAAGCCATCGAAGGGACCGGTGAGGCTACCAAGGGAAAGGAGAAGGCAGATCTATTCGGGTTTTCAGGTTCGCGGACGGATCTGCTATTATACGAGCCGCCGCCGCCGCCGCCGCGACCGCATTCGGTTGCGAGGAAAAAGAATATGAAGAAATTGTTTTAATAAAAAATTTACGATCGTTTACGACAAACCACAACCAAACGAACGAGCTCTATATCGTGACTCGTGAAGGGAGGTATCTGTATATGCTATACGTACTCCGTATATACTATGCCCGTCGCTCCCGGTGCGGGAATCAACTCCTCCGCTCCGCGTCTCCTCCCCACCCCGAGCTGCCATCGCCTCACCTCCGTTCCCAGCGCGCCCTTTCTCAGTCGGGTGCCGTGACCGCGCCGGCTGCCGTTACCGTGCCATCGCCGTCACGCAGCAGCTCATCCAGGTGACACACGCCCAGGCCGGAGCGGCGAGCTCCTCCATCTTCAGCTGCAGTCGCAGGAGCTTGGTTGACGTGGACAGAAGAATCAAGCCAGGAAGTTGGAAGCACTAGGTAAAAATACAATTTTCTGTAGTTATTAGCCCCTGTGTTGATGCCATTTTGGTTTGCAAGTTTTCCTGCATTTGATTAAGGATCTAATAGGATAATTGCAAATTGTCAACTGTGAATAGCCCAGGATTCTCGAAAAAATAAACATGGCTCACACATCTCTAATTCATAGTTTTCTAATTCACAGTTTTCTTTTCTCCTGTCTTGAATTCTTGTTTAGATCATATAGATCATTGTTTAGCGTACTAGGGAGAACTATGGCACCATGTCTTTCTGAACCAAGATTCTCCATTCTCTTGGTTTCATTTGGCATCAATACTATTTTCGCATGGTTTTAATTTTTGTGTGTATTCTTTCTGTACTTCTCAATTTGTATAAGTTGAAATCATGCGCCAGTTTATTGAGCATTTATTTAAGAAACTATTCTGCACACTAGAGACCTTCAAAGCTCAAACGTCCATGGTAATTCTCAAACAATATGGGATTAGAAACTTTCATATTACATTTCTAAATATTCTCGATGACATACTCTTTGCTAAGAATTTTAATTGATGTTGTAAAAATCATACTGTACCAAACATGTCTTCAAAGAAAAATGATCTGTTAAGACAGACTACTGCAAACGAAGATTAACTACATTTATTGGTGGCCAATTTGAATTAAAATAATAGAAATCCCAGTGATTTATCATTAATTTTCATATTTCTAAATTGTTCAGATTTAATGTGCTGTTCATGATATGCATGTCATCGATTTTAGTGAAAATTCTGTAATTTGAGTTTGCCCTACCTCCATTCTCACGCTGTATGCAATCTTAAGGATCCCATGTGACATTAATGTCAGGTCCAATTAGTTTTGGCACCTTATTTTCAGTTAACATGTATCAATGATTTCTTTGCCACAGTGCCACCATGTTTAGTTTCAGACTTCCAGCATGTAAGCTTGAAACTAATATTACTGAAACATTTTGGGAACGTGCAGCAGCAGCAACAACAACAACAACATAGCCTTTCAGTCCCAAACAAGTTGGATAGGCTAGAGTTGAAACCCACCAAGAGACCCAAGTCACGGTTCAGGCACTTCAATAGCTGCTTTCCAAATACTTCTATTTAAACATAGATTTCTAGGTATATCCCAAGCTTTCAAATATCTTTTTATTGCCTTCCCTCATGTCAATTTCGGTCTTCCTCTACCTCTCCTCATATTATTAGCTTGGCTTAGGACTCCACAATGCACTGGTGTCTCTGTAGGTCTCCTTTGGACATGGCCAAACCACCTCAACCGATGTTGAACAAGGTTTTCTTCAATTGGTGCTACCTCTAGAGCGATCACGTATATCATCGTTCTGCACTTGGTCCATTCTTGTGTGATTGTAAAATCCATCGCAACATACGTATTTCTGCAACACTAAGTTGTTGAACATGTTGAATCTTTGTAGGCCAACATTCTGCTCCATACAACATAGCCGGTCTAATCGCCGTTCTATAGAACTTGCCTTTTAGCTTTTGTGGTACCCTCTTGTCACAGAGAATGCTAGAAGCTTGTCACCACTGGATCCACCCTGCTTTGATTCTATGGCTAACGTCCACATCAATATCTCCATCTCTCTATAGCATCGATCCCAGATACCAAAAGATATCCTTCTTAGGCACTACTTGACCTTTCAAACTCACATCTCCCTCCTCCTATACAACTCCGCCAAAGTCGCATCTCATGTATTCGGTTTTAGTTCTGCTCAATCTAAAACCTTTAGACTCAAGGTTCTGCCGTCATAACTCTAGTTTTCTATTTATTCTCGCCTGGCTTTCGTCCACTAACACTACATCATTAGCGAACAACATACACCAAGGGATATTCCATTGTATGTTCCTGATAACCTCATCCATTACCAAGGCAAAGAGATACGGGCTTAATGCTGATTCTTGATGAAGTCCAATTTTAAATTTTAGGAATGTTCCTCTCTATTTTTTTCTAACTGTTATCTGTTTTGTAGGCACAATAAGTCCTGAGAGTGTGGTTTACAGTTTTGGCATTGTCTTGCTTGATCTCTTGAGTGGAAAGCTTCCACCTAGTCATGTAAGTTTTCCTGTCAACGTCAAAAAAAATGTGAGTTTTCCTGCTCTATGTGTGCTATACAACTTTCGAGAAGCAGAGTGCTCTGTTTGCTCTTGCAGTTTTAGACATTGTTATGATAAATTTGTGAGTTTCTATTTCACATATTACTGCTTTATTGAAAGTTAAAATTTTGATGAGCACATTGATATTTGACTATTATACGATCTACAGGTGGTGTCAAGACATTGGGCGAGAACATGCTGCTAACAGGCCTCTTTTGAGAACAGTATTTTAGGTTTGTACAGTTCCAGAGACTGAGTCTAGTTTCTTCTCTATTTCTGCAGTTTGATATTTTCAATTTGTTTGGCTTTTCTTGTGATCTGATTTTCCTGTTTTTGCAGACTCCGCTGGAGTACCTAGCACAAGCTCTCAAGGAGGATATTGAAAAGGTGCAAATGCAATCTGCTTACCTGCTTTCATCTTTGTCATGTCCCAATTCTCATTAATCACTGTCTTTTTCTATGAGATATGGGATACTGTTCAGAAACTAGTATCTTACACGGAAGCAGCGCTTAGTGATTTCTTCAATGTCGGTGCATCAGTTTTCTGAAAGTAAGGCTTTCATGCATCAACTGACTCATATTTTCTGCAATATAAAGGTGGAGGTCCCTCGCAACGACCTTGGCTGAGTGGGAGCACAGCAGTAGGACTTCTTCCTCAATGTGCACAGGATAGGATTGAAGTGATCTTCTCCAGGTTAGCTCATTGTGTGTGCTTGAAAATCCAGTGAAAAGTTGTTGATTTTTCTGTGCTAAAATCGTATTAGTGTCCTGTACTATGTTTTCTTTCATATTGAGTAGTGGAAGCTCGCTTGTTTGTGAACACTGTCAGACAGGGATTAGTATAAAGAATGGCAGAACTAATTTATCTAGCAAGTACCAAACAATGTAGATAGACTGTCAGATACGTGGCAAGAAGTAGAAGTGAATGGGCTGACAGCTTCTGATCATGCTGATTCCAACTGCCTGTTATCCTGTTTATCCATAGATTTCTTTTTGAGCAGTTTATAGATTACATCGCACTGATTATATGATTGTAGAAGGTATAGCACTAGTCTCCATTTCCTTTCACTGATTATATGTTTGTGTATGGTTGCAGGTTGGAGGTAGGGAGCATTACTAGGTCTGATAAGAACAAAAAAGATTTTGTTATCAGCATTACTAATAGGTACTGTACTCTTGTTTAATAGAGTTAATGACATTGTAATGGCTTACACATGGTAGTGATCATTAACCCAACCAATTTAAGCTATAGGAATTTTGATTGTTCTGAAGTCTATGCGTACTATTGACCATGAGAAGTCTTACTAAGGTTGATTTTCCAGATCTTTTTGCTGCCATTTTAACTCCACTGCACAGAGTGATGGTAGCAATGTACTATTTTGTGAAGCACAGGCTCCAATGCATTGCTATTTTTCTTTTTGACCGAGCTACTGCCGGCCAGGGGCAGTCCCACCAGTATTCAAAGGTATTCAGTTGAATACCCAAATCTATTTGACAAAAAATTTCATATATACAGTGTATGTATATTGAAAAGGCAAAAATACACGTAAACTGAACAACCGTACAACAATTCAGCCCAAAATAGCATGCTCCTACTCTTTTTTCTCCCCATCCGAAGGCCCAATGAGGCCTAGCGGCCCAAATTCTCTACCGCACTCCCATGATCCCATCGACCCATCCCGCACCGGCACGCCCGCAGCCACGAACTCACAGTCACAGTCCTCACGCTGCTCATGGACGCGGTCACGCGGAGTCTTCAGTCGCAGTGAATTTATGTAATCATGCTCAATTGTATGTCAAGTGTTATATATTTGCTATATATTGTACAATAAGAACTATATTGTCAAAAAAAATTAACACCCCTTCATAGTTTCATACTTCCCTTTATCATATTTTGAATACCCAAGGAAAAAAGTCATGAGCCCGCCACTGCTGCCGGACGCTGCACACACCTCCCCACGGCCCTCGTAAATGTTTCGCCACTCATCGCCCGCTGCCGGGGCGGTAGGGTCGGCCGCGGAGCTCCGGTGAGACCCTACCGCTTGTGGCGATCTCCTCCTCCCCTCCCCCCT